TTCGGATCCAGGACTGTGTGGAGCAGTCAGACTGGGCGAACTGGCTCCGTTCTTCTTCTTTTTTTTATGTTCTTCGGTCACGAACTCGCAGAGCGGCTGCTGGTTGGTACGGAAACGCTGAGAGCAATGCAGGAAAAAAAAAAACACAGAATAAAGATTCTAGATTATTATAGAGATGTGAACATTTTGTGTAAAGATACTGGAATCATTGCACATTTTTCCTTCTTTTTTTATATCTATAAATATATATATATTGTTTTTTCATAGCCTTATTTATTTGTTTACTAATGGTCAAAGTTTCTTTTTTTTTTTTTTCTATGATTTGAATGTTCTCTGGTTGCCTTTTCTCCAGCAAGCGAGCATCCCTCCTTCTCCAGGGGGAGGGAGAGAGGGAGGATATTTGGGGGGGGTGGGGCGAAGGTTTGGCCTCCTCCGGGCGTCAACCTGCTGCAGCAGCTGGCTTTTTTTTTCACGTAGTGGCAGTGAACGCCTCACCGGTAGGCGGAGTTGTTAAACACGGCGTCCTGAATGCAACAAAAGGGTCGGTTTCTGAGATGAGACGAGACGAGCGTCGCCGCGGTGACGAGTCTTTAATGTGATGATACTTTGGGGATGACCACTGGTGCTTTTATACCTGATCAGTGATCAATATGTTCATTGAAGTGCAGCTTCATCACGATATTTAGTGAATTCACTTCACGTTTATCCTGTTAAATCTTTATAAAAAAACACTTTCCTAGAGCACAAGGTGACCAGTAGTTGACCCTAATTCCTAAGCCCCGCCCCTTTTCTGCTCTAGCCAAATTAGCCATTAGCCACTGTTAGCAACACCAGTTGACTCATTTAAAGACAGAAGTGCTAATAAACACAACATTACCGCAGTTAGCTAATGCGCACAGCAGCCATCTTGGATTTTAAGGTCCGAGTTGGTGAGGTTCTTCCGACTTTCGTAGTCGGAATCCGACGTCAGCCGGTGCTCCGGTTTCTGTCTGGAAACGTCCGACTTCCCAGTTAAAATGGAACTCACCATTAAAGTCGCCTTAACTGTTTTCTTCAAAACGTGGCTCTTTTCAGCAGAGATTAGCTTAGCATATAGCATATCTAAGTACAGGAAAAGGAGGAAGTTGACTTCTCAACTGTGATTGGAGCACAGAGCAAAAGGGGGCGGGGCTTAGGAAGAGTTAATTATCTCGTATGTGAGCAGAGAAAATAAAAACACGCACAAAACGTGAAGAGAAACACGCAACCCAAAAGAAAACTAACAATGTTACTAGTTGTTTGCGTCTCACTGAGGCCTTTTCCACCAACAGGGAACCAACAGGGAACCAACAGGGAACCGACTGCGTCCCGATTCCTTAGTTGGTTCGGAACCTGAAAAGTTGGTTCGCAGCTGGAACCAAAGTGGGCTCGTCATGTTTCTACAGGCCCTCGATTACGGTGGTTCCACGCAGACACGGTGGAAACGCGAGAAAGCTTCAACCACAGAGCCGGTCCCTTCCTAAGTCCCGCCCCTTTTTTTTGCTCTGATCCAATAACCGTTGAGCAGACCTCGGTCAGAACCTCGGTTTCTGATGTATCTAACTTAAGACCTTTGCACATCAAGTCTAAATTTTTCGTATGCGTTTAAAATGTCTACACGTAGAAACTTTACGAGTCCTATTTTTTTTTATTATTATTCTATAAATCGAACCTGTTCCGAAAACTAATGATTGAAAGTTTCGGAGGAACGCGAGGTTGTACGTATTAGTTTTACTTCTGGAAGCGGTTTGCGCTGCGTGTTCCCTGCTCAGCCTGCAGGTTAACGCCGGAGGAAGAAGGCGGTCGGTGTTTGGTCGGAGAGTCGCGGCGTCGTCGAGCTTTTTGGTCTCGGTGTGAAGTTCAGCGTCGGGGAAAGTCTCGATGTAGAAAACGCCATGAAAGACGCTCTCCTCTCTCCCAGCTCGCGTGTACATGTGTACTATACTGAGTGATGATACTGTAACCCCTGTACCGTGCGGTCGGCTCGTGCTCTTTATTTTGTAATAACTGTTGAAGCTTGCTGTGGTGAGCGCTGCCCTCCTGCTTGTAAATGAGACGTCCTGATTCGCCTTTGTTTTGGTTTTTATTTCTTTTTCTCTCCATCTGACGTCGGTTTTATCAAAGCGTGCCTACTCGCCGTCCCACCGAGGGATCCTGCTGTACAGAACATCCCAGAACCCCCTGCAGCAACCCAGCCGAGGAGCACGTGGGCGCGTGTGTGTGATGGATGGTGTGCGTGTGCGTGTGTGTGTGTGTGTGTGTGTGTGTGTGTGTGTCGCCCACAGACTTTATATCCGCTGCGTGATCTCCGGTCGGTTCCTCGCTGTTCTCGTTGTCCCGAGCGATGATGACTGGAACATTTTGATTTAAGTTTTGTGACGATGAAGATCTTTTTGTAAACAATGTGTCTGAATCTACGAAGCTCCTGATATCATCGGTTTGATTTTTTTATGTTGATTTTTTTTCCTCTTTTCTTTTCGGTCGTTCTGTACAGATGAAAATTGGACAGTTTGTTAATAATAATAAAGTCTGCAAGGTTTCTATTCTGTTGTCCTGTCTGTTTATTTTAAATCCGTCTTTAAAGCACAACGCAATATTATTATTGTTTATATTCTAATGAGCCTGATGGATCTTTATATCTTTTTATCTCAATGAGGATAGTTTTCTTACGTTTCATGTTACTGAGCTGACATTGTGAGGGAACCACTGAGGCAGGTTACAAACGGGCTCCTCTGTTAGTGTTTTATGCTCAGATTTAGAAACTGATGATCTTCAGTTTGGGTATTTGTTGTTGCACAGGTGTGTTTAAACTCACTCCAACTAAAACTGTCTCTTTAACTTCTGATCTGTGGAGCAAAGTTTGCTAAAATTCTTGTTTTCACACCTTCAAATTGTCCTCGTCTGCATTTGTTTTAGCAAACGGAGCCGAGCGTCTCAGCAAACCTCTGATTATCAGACGACAACTCGTCTTTGTGTTTTTCACTTTTCTCTCCAGACAAAAACAAACGTGCAGTCAGACAATTACACAAACGCTGCGGCGGGTTCATCCTCGTCTACGAACCGGGTCCTAACGTGAATAAATCCTGTCTTCATCTCAATCAATTAAAGGACCCGTCTGTGGCCTCAACTGCAAATCACAGCGAACGTCACAGCGCAGCACGCCATTGTGTTCAGTTGTTTTTAAACGTCGTCTTCCTTCCTGCAGCCCGTGGTTTCACTATATTCATTCCTGCTTTTATATCAACAACATTATATCAGCACATTTGTCTTATTACAGGATGAGGAAACACGACAAATGAATGTTAAACACAACTCTATGCTTCCCTGGAGGTTTGCAGGAAATTATTTTCATCATCAAATAATCAGTTTTTTTTTTTTTATATAAATCGACTGTTCGGCCTGTAAAATATTGAAAAATATCCATTGCCAGTTCTCTGAGAGCCCGAAGGAGATCAACAGTCCAAACACAAACATACATTCAGTTTAACAACCAGTTCAACGTTTAAATATCCCAACACCAATCTGATATTTCACGATAAGAAAATTAATAAAGATGTCTGAGAGATCGAAATTGGAAATCATATTTTCATATAAAATGTACAAAATATTTTGTAGATTTGTGTTTTTTCTGATGGATCTTTGGTGGACTTTGGTTGCTGGTGTGCCAACTGTTCATCAGGGAGTTTCACATACTTTATATATATTTTATATTATGTTAAAAACTGTACAATGAACCCAAACAGTGAACTCAGTTCCTGTTTAGAGAACTTTATACAATTCTCTGTCTGTATTGTTTGTTTTTTAATATTTAACAATCCTACAGACTTAATAAGCTTTTTTTTTTTTTTTTTACAAATTTTGTTTTCTTCTCCCTGACAGTTGGCCGTTAATCTATTAGACAATTTACATTTACTTTTCTTCACAGAAGTGAACCAAACACCTCTCATGACCCCCATAAAGCTTTTTTATTTTTTTTTACTGCCTTAAACAACTTCAATGTTCCTGATAACACGTATGAACTCACTAGCAGTAATATAAAGTGCTGTACATGCTGTATATAAAGATTTGTACACTGTAAAAAAATAAAGACGTTTTTTATGGTGAAAAACTGTTAAACCACGACAGTAAGAGTGTAAACCCTACATAAGTTACAGTAAAACATCATATCAACATTTTAAAGGAGTTTATGTGGAAGAAAGTGTTTTTATATTAAAATGCACAGAAAACCAGCGGCAGAAACACTTTTTCTTTTGATGGCAAAAACAGTATTTACGCCAAAATATGGAGTAAAACTTTTAACCGTAAAATCAACAGTACTAATATTTTACTGTAACAGTAGAAAAGTTCTCCTGTATTTATTACGGTAAAGTTCTGCCAACCACAGTTGACACAGCTATTACAGTAAAATGATTGGTACTGTTGATTTTATGGGTAAAGTTTTGTTCCATATTTTAGTGTATAAATAAGTTTTTACCATTAACAGAAGCAGCCACGTGAGATATGACGTTGGAGATCGTCTCATTTTTATTTGAATAGAGATATTTTCTACAAACATGTTTCCACTTTTCTGTAACTCCTCACACACGTATGTGAACATGTGAAGTGAACACAGCTGTCGTCGCAGTCTGGCTCACACACCGCCGTACGAGTCCTGCTGCGTGGTCCTCACGCTGCCGTTGGTCTGTGTTTTCTGTCTTGTTACGTGTGTGTGAGAATGTGTCTGCAGACATACAGCGTCGACATATACGACTGTTCGTCTGCGTGCCGGTTTATGTGTGCGCTCTGTCTGGTCTCTGGAGGCTTCGGGCTGTCTGACAGATCCGTGTTAAATTCTTCAGCCCGAACGGATCAAAACACGTCGACCTCTCGCAGCTTCCATACGACAGAACTGCAGCTTACAACCCGAATGTCTCAAAACAGCCAAAAATACCTTCCAGGTTGATTTACAGCTTCTAACAGGAACAACAGCTCAGGACACAATGTCGGGAAAACATGTTTATTATGTGTGAAACAGAGTTGAATCAGAGTGAAGACAGAAACACAGAACATACTCACACATACACACAGTGTGCTCGTCTCATGCATCAATATTACATTCAACTCACAGAGCTGAGCCTCCGTTTGAAAGATAAAACACCCAGAAGGCCGATCTGCAGTCGAATAACAAAGGTTTTTAATCAGGAGTGTAAAGATTCACCGATATGAGTCGGCAATCATTTTTAATGTTACGGTTGCAGCTACATCTGTACGTGGACTCCTGGATGAATCTGAATGTACCATAAACCGGTCGATGGTCCGATTCTAAAGTCATGAATCTGTTGACTGAAGCTTTGCCGCTAACAGCGTCTCCACTCTACTGAAAGGTCAACGCCAGAGTAACGTTGGTGCAGAGTCAACGCCAACAGGATTTATTGCACGCCATCAAATCTAAAATCTAAAGTTTGGAAGATATTTGGATAAAAGTCTGTCCATCTGTAAGATCTGTCTGTCTTAAACCTGCAGTCCATTTAACAACCAGCAGGGGGCGGCCCCATTACCATTCAGTCTTATGGAGAAATGAGTTGACTTCTCAGTTGATGTATGAGTTCAGTAAACAGTTTCCTGATGAGTTTCTGGTCTCAGTCTCTAGTTTCAGTCTTCTTCCATACAGCATGATGTTCATTTAGTAACTGATGGTCCCATTTAGAGTAAAACAGACCATAAAGCAGGGTATGCTTTAGGGGCGGGGCTACCTTGTGATTGACAGCTCATTCTCAGTGAGTCCGTCCAGCTCAACACACCAAACTCAGATCAAAGTGTCAAACAGTGCTGATCAGATATGGATCCAGATTCTGTTGTTGACTATTTCTCTCCTCAAATCTGTTGACAAACACATTTTACTGTTTACTGTTTAATACCAGATCCTGTGTGAGCGGCGTTAAGAACTGTATCAGATTGCATCGTCTCTGAATCGGATCGTAGCCGATGTATCTGGATTCATATCGGATCTTATTTTTAACCTTTTTCCCAACTTATGTTTCCTGAAGATAAACTGATGCTTTGCTCTGCGACTCGACTGTCATAATGATGCATCAGAGGCACAAACTCAAAACATCTTTTATAACTGAAACAGCAGACGGACGCCAGTTCTTCTGATGCGACACTGAAAACCTTCTAATAGATTTAATTAAACTCTTAAACACTCTACTTGAACATGGCTACATTATATACAGAATTCATAGTTTTTCAGAAGAAGTTCGACAGTAAATCACCTACAAAGAGGCCAAAAACACTCAGTGGTTTGACACCCCTCCCACCCTCAAAGTTCTGCTTCCTGCCCTCATTTACATTATCCTACTTATATAAGATTTAAATTGAAAGGAAAGAGCACAAAAAATCACATCCTGGGTATTTTCCCCCGTAGATAAAAGATCTTTCTGGAGTACAAAAGTCAGAATTTATTATTTTTGGGTCCACAGCTGACAAAGTTTTTAAACTAGTGTGAAACAATGAGGAGGATCGATTGTCAGGAATGGCAAATAATATTAATCAGTATGTTTTCATTAGTGTTTGATCACCTGAATATAAGAATCGTCCCAGAGCATCTCTTTTTCTGAAAAATAAATAAATACCCAGCAAACTTTGTAAGGTTTTAAAACTCTTACAGCTGTTCTGACTCCTAGTTATAAAATAATAAAAGTCTTCTGCACTATAAGATAGATTTTTATTTAGTTTCTCTGGTTTTTTCTGTATTTTCTATCTAGGAAGCTGGAAATGATCTGTCATACCCCCACCAGGGGTCGCCAGAGCTTCATGGGGGATCGTTAAGCCTTCTTGATTTTAACGGGTGTAAGAAAATATCAAAATATGGCCAAGAAAACACTGAATTTGTCAAAAAAGAAGCCTGTTAAGTCTGTATGTTTCTGGGAAATTATTTTATTTTGTATCTAAAAAGAATGATAATCCTGTCAGTCTAAGTTTGTCTACCATCCCAACTTGGGGAAACATAGTTTAAAATCTTATTGTGCAGCAGACAGAAAGATAAAGATGTTTATTCTTTAGGAAACCCAATACTCTGCTCTGTGACTGTAATGTAATAGTTATCCATTAGTCACAAACAAAAATGGCGCCCTATCTGTTCCTGTAAAAGCTGCTGAATGGACACAAACGCCTCCTCAGGTTGTAACTGGACCAAATTGATAAAACTCCTGAATAAAAGAGTCATTTGGGGGGAATTGTGATGCTCAGTTTCTGATTTTTGGACCAGTGTGCGCCACGTGATGAACATTGAAAGTTAAAGTTCGCTTCCTGCGACAAACTGCAGCTACTGTCGATCAAACACTCCGAGGTTAAAGGAGCATTTCAGACGTATTTACAAAGACCTTTTTTCTTCCTCTCAATAATAAAAATAACAATATATTTAAAAATCACCTCAGCTGGACTGTAAAAGTTCGTTGGACTCTTTATAAACTGCTATAACTGAGTCAGAAATGGCCACCGAACGCCGTTGAACCCGTCAACCGTCCCCTAAAACCCGTACGGAGAAACGAACAGGGTGACCTTGGTGAGGTAGCGACCCAGCAGGGAGTGATGCTCCAGCTCGCTCATCTCCACCTCCGCCTCCAGAGTGGCCGGACCCTTGATGGGCGTCACCAGGAGGAGGGTGCCTGTCTGCCGGCCGGAGCGCTGCACGCTGAAGTGGCCCCGCCCACGGCCGCCCGCCAGGCCGAACCGCAGCGTGTCGCCCAGCACGCGGGCCGCCGACACCCGGAAGAGGACGCGGGGGGCGGACATGTTGGACACTACAGACAGGAAGTGGAAGGAGATGGAGTTTGGTGCCTGGGTGCATCCTTTGTCTCCCAGCATGCACGGGTTCCTCTCACAGCGCCTGGAAACACAATGATATATATTTTAGGATCGTAGGAAGGAACATTTATCCAATTTGAAATCAGCGTAACAATTTGTGGTTGTGGTCTAAAGACTTATTCATCTTCCTCCTCCTCTTCTTCCTCATCCTCATCCATCTCCTGGGATCAAATCAAATCCCCGAGCGATTCTGAACAAATCATTGTCTCCCAAAATTATACCCTGCTCACATTGTGTTAAAGCTCTGCTGTTGTCTGAAAGAGGAGAATGTATCTGATTCTGTTCACAGCTAGAAATCAACTCGTTTGTCCCGCAACCGTCTCGAATTCTTCTTTCTTAACAACCAAAGTCCCAAACTGAAGTTCTTTTTTAAAATCGTACATAATGAATAACTTTGGTTCTGTAACTCTTCACTAAGTGATGTTGAGGAAGTGATTGGTTGAGTTACTGTTTGATTAATAAATGCAAACCTGTTTCTGATTGGTCACACACCAAATTATCACAAACTCAATATATCGTATATATATATATATATATAGATATATTTATATATATATATTTAAATAAAATCTACAAAAGGCGGGAAAAGATCAAACAAATCAAACAAATATGAATCACTTTTTAGAAATAATAAGTCAGAAAAAGAAACTCTGCGATGCAATTATTTTATTTGATCATCTTCAATAACTAATACAACTTCTCAATACATCTTTAGAGAGCTTCCACCAGGAGGAGGCCCTGGGTCATCTTCAGCCTTTTAGAGAGTGAGGGGAGCTTAAGCTTGTTCCCTCACCCTCTTTTACACCTGCCTCCCATCAAGCCTTTACCTCACCGCTATAAGAAGTCTGTGCTGACGTCCAATCCCTGTTGATCTTTGAGTCATACACATTTCCTTTGTACCTGCAGAATCACCTGTCTGTCTCTCTTCTGCGTATTTGAGAATTAGAAATTAAAGAGCAAGATCTGAAGTTTAATAAAAGCAAACAGACACACTTCCTCCATTAGTTTCAATGGGCATTAAAACCCTTTCAGATTAATGGAGAATGGCCCCTCAAGTGAATGTTTTCACCTGCTGTCTGACTAATAATAAGTGAATTCAACTTTTATTTATATGTAATCTATATATAGGAGTCCGTTGCATGTGTGTACTGAAAATAATAAAAAATCCCTACATTTTTATTGCTTATTCTACCGTCTTAGGAAAAAAACAGTATAGTCCCGAGTGCCCCAACACTAAATATAATAACATAAGAAACTGGTTGTATCTGAGTAACTACAAGGAGGATCTATGAAGTCACAACACATTAAATGTCAAAGATATCCACACATATAGAGTGTAAAAAAAATAAATATTTCATATGAAAAACATTTAATTTTTTAGTTTTATTCCATATTTTAGTGTATAAATAAGTTTTTACCATCAAAAGAAACAGTTTTGCCTCATGATAATTCTGTGCAATCTTTAATATAAAGAAAATACTTTATTCCATATAAATTCCTTTAAAATGCTATATAAATAAAGGTTTTGCCAGAGATATCACAGTGTTTCACTGTTACAGAAACTTCATTAAACCTAGTTTACCCTCTTTTACTGTCGTGGTTTCACCGCAAAATCTACAGACTTTTTCTTTTTAAATCCTGATTTTGACCATAGATAAAAGTGTAATTTTTGACATTATCTAATTATTTCAAAGTTGTGCTGTTAGATACTTGACCAAAGTATGTTGGTACCAAATGTCAAGACTTCACACCAACCATAACAAATGTTGAGGTGTTTTTCTGATGCAAATGTGTTAATGAACCGGAGGGAGAGGGTGCCATTTGTCCTGTATAGGCAGCTTTTAACTGCTCTAACCACGACACTTTATATCTGAGTCACGGCTGAAGATCTTTAGCCGGAAGCTAACCCTACATGTGGTAAAGATCCCCCCCCGCTGGAGACACAACACTGTCCTCCCTGCATTACTAAAACATACAATTATGATTCATCTCTAGTAATAAATCAGAACCGCTTTCTGTAAACACGTTTAGTTTCAGCCCGCTGCCATAAACACGTCTTCACGCCTCTCGACCGCCATCAGCTGTTCGGCCGACGGGAGCCTGAAAACCTCAGCGGGGCGTCTGAGGCCAAACCTCAGTCTGACTCTCAGCCCAGTTCCTGTTAGTAGGGACGCTAAATGTGGGGTAGCGAAAGGAAGTGGGTGACATGAAGGTAGAACTCATTGTTTTCAAATCGCTCTCCACCGCTGTCCCTGTCATTTACTGAGTCTTTGTCTTCTGAGGTGAGAAACTTTATGGTTTTCTTTGTCTCATCTGGCCGGTTTTCATTCCTTTTCTACTTGCTTTGTCTGCTCCAGAGATATGATTTCAGTCTTTATTACAAGGCTTAGTCTTGCTGTCTAAAGTTGGTCTAAAACAACAATCCAGTGAGAGAGGTTAAAATGTTAAAATGAAGCCAGAACATCTCGGATAAGTCTGCCAGAGTGCGTAGTAGTTGGTCCTGTGGTACTGAGATCTATTCACCTCACCGACGGTTGGTTTGTGGAGAACGGTTTGGCATTATGATCGTCGCCATAACAGTTTGTCGGAGCCAGCGGAGGTCACGTACTGCGAGTTGAGCTGCTCTCATTGGCTGCTGCAGTTTCGACTCGTCCATATCAGGAAACATTGGCGGCTCTCCTGCTCACACAGGATCTGATATTCCAGATAAACAGTAAAATGTGTTTGTGAACAGATTTGAGAAGAGAAACAGTCAACATCAGAATCTGGATCCATATCTGATCAGCACCGTTTGACAGTTTGATCTGAGTTTGGTGCGTTGAGCTGGACGGACTCACTGAGAATGAGCTGTCAGTCACAAGGTAGCCCCGCCCTAAAGCATACCCTGCTTTATGGTCTGTCTTACTCTAAATGGGACCATCAGTTACTAAATGAACATCATGCTGTATGGAAGAAGACTGAAACTAGAGACTGAGACCAGAAACTCATCAGGAAACTGTTTACTGAACTCATAAATCAACTGAGAAGTCGGCTCATTTCTCCATAAGACTCAATACTATCGGTTATATATTGCAACCAATGGATCTCGCCCTGCTGGTTTCGGACACTTCACAGACCTGGAAGCTCTGTACTTTATATAAACTGTCAATGATCTTCTCCCAACTGGCTTCGGTAAGAGTTTGATTACGTTAATCTGGTTCGTTGATCTGCCCTTTTCCAAACAGTTTCCAACGACCACTTCCCAGACGGTTCCGTGTAACAAACCACTTGCTGCAGTCAGGTTACTTACATTGGCGACGTCTTGATGTACGTGGCGTTCTTCAGGTGAGGACACTCCACCGCCACGCACTGGAACCCTCCGTAGGTGTTCACACACACCTGGTCCAGTGTGCAGTTGTGCATCCGGTTTTCACACTCGTCGATGTCTGAACACAGGAGGAGAAAAACAAGCGTTACAAACGTCGGTCTCTAACCGTGTCCCCGCCCCTCTAACCACCGATGACCTTTGAACTCTTCACCTGTGCAGCTGCGGCCGTCTCTGGCGAGGTCGTAGCCGGCTGGACAGAAGCAGTGGAAGCTGCCGGGCGTGTTCACACACTGGTGGACGCAGAGTCGGCCGGGCTGACCGAGAGGAAACAGGCGACACTCGTCGATATCTGAGAGGAACACAGAATCTATCAGCTATCTAAAATATGAATCAATTAGTTATTGATTAGAAATATTTATTACCTGTGCAGATGTTGTTGTCGCGGCCGGATATGGTGAAACCAACATCACAGGTGCAGCGGGTGGAGCCCAGGAAGTGAGTGCAGTGAGACGGACGGACGGAGGCAGGTGGAGTGGGTGATGAAGAGGAGGAGGAAGAGGAGGAGGAGGAGGAGGAGAAGGAGGAAGAGGAGGAGGATGCTGACAGAGCAGCAGACATAGGAAGGGAGGAGGAAGAGGAAGGAGCAGCAGGAGAGAAGGAGGCCAGCGAGTTGTCGGTGCTGTTGAGACCTGAAAATAAAGAAAAAGATTAAGAAAACTGAACCAGTATCGGTTCTAAAGCTGTGGTCCAGTATCGGTTCTAAAGCTGTGGTCCAGTATCGGTTCTACGGTTGTGGTCCAGTATCAGTTCTACGGTTGTGGTCCAGTATCAGTTCTACGGTTGTGGTCCAGTATCGGTTCTAAGGTTGTGGTCCAGTATCGGTTCTACGGTTGTGGTCCAGTATCAGTTCTACGGTTGTGGTCTAGTATCGGTTCTAAGGTTGAGGTCCAGTATCGGTTCTACGGTTGTGGTCCAGTATCTGTTCTACGGTTGTGGTCTAGTATCGGTTCTACGGTTGTGGTCCAGTATCTGTTCTACGGTTGTGGTCCAGTATCGGTTCTAAGGTTGAGGTCCAGTATCGGTTCTACGGTTGTGGTCCAGTATCAGTTCTACGGTTGTGGTCTAGTATCGGTTCTAAAGTTGTGGTCCAGTATCGGTTCTACGGTTGTGGTCCAGTATCAGTTCTAAAGTTGTGGTCTAGTATCGGTTCTACGGTTGTGGTCCAGTATCTGTTCTACGGTTGTGGTCCAGTATCGGTTCTAAGGTTGAGGTCAAGTATCGGTTCTACGGTTGTGGTCCAGTATCAGTTCTAAAGTTGTGGTCCAGTATCTGTTCTAAAGTTGTGGTCCAGTATCTGTTCTAAGGTTGTGGTCCAGTATCGGTTCTAAGGTTGTGGTCCAGTATCAGTTCTAAGGTTGTGGTCCAGTATCGGTTCTTACGTCGGCACATTGGCTGCTGTCCGCTCCACTTCAGAGACTCCAGACAGACTCGGGTCCGTGGGCCAATGAGCTCGTAGTTAGGCTTACACAGGAAGTGGACCTCGTGTCCGATGCCAAACACCCGGCCCAGTCTGCGGCCGTGAGTGGGGGGTTCTGGTTTGGGGCAGGATGCTGCGAACAGATAGAGTTAATTTACCTTCTGAACTTAAAGGTCCCATATGATAATGATGTTCCCTGACCACCTCTGCTGCCTGTGGACTGATCTCTGTGTGTCTCTGTGTGTCTCTATGTGTCTCTGTGTGTCTCTGTGTGTCTCTATGTGTCTCTGTGTGTCTCTGTGTGTCTCTATGTGTCTCTGTGTGTCTCTCTGTGTCTCTGTGTGTCTCTGTGTGTCTCTATGTGTCTCTATGTGTCTCTGTGTGTCTCTGTGTGTCTCTATGTGTCTCTGTGTGTCTCTATGTGTCTCTATGTGTTTCTATGTGTGTCTGTGTGTCTCTATGTGTCTCTGTGTGTCTCTGTGTGTCTCTGTGTCTCTCTATGTGTCTCTATGTGTCTCTGTATGTCTCTATGTGTTTCTATGTCTCTCTATGTGTCTCTATGTGTCTCTGTGTGTCTCTATGTGTCTCTGTGTGTCTCTATGTGTCTCTATGTGTCTCTATGTGTCTCTGTGTAATTTGTCAGATAACATTGGGGGTTGGACTGGGTTTATTTTTGTCTCACCACCGGTCTTAAAGATGGCCATGGTGCTGTTGTGCAGAGCGTTAATCTTCTTCCTGAGCGAGCGCAGGCCCTGCTGGTAAGATGCTTCATGGACCGCCAACATCTTCTCCACCTGCCGCAGCGAGTTCACCAGGTTGTGGGTGGATGGACACTCCTGTGGACGAGGAGAGACATCAGGACAGGTAATGTGTGAGCAAACTATTTGGCGGACCCAAACATACAATAGTGATGTTTTTAAAAGATCCTCATGTTGCTAATGCTAATATTAGCAACGTACCAAACTCAGATCAAAGTTTCAAACAGTGCTGATCAGATATTGATCCAGATTCTGTTGTTGACTGTTTCTCTCCTCAAATCTGTTCACAAACACATTTTACTGTTTATCTGGAGAACCAGATCCTGTGTGAGCAGGAGAGCCGCCATTGTTTCCTGATACGGACGAGCCGAAACTGAGCAGCCAATGAGGTACGACATGAAAGTATCTTGTTATAACGTGATCTGTTTTTCTTTAACGTAGGTATTTATGGCAGGAAAGAGGGTTTTTGTTTGTTTGTTATCAGTTTTATTCAGTAAAAAGCTCTAAAATTACTGTTAAATGTTGTTAATAATTGGCTATAAATGATACCGGACATTCAAATTAATGTTAAAACCATGAATGTTAAGCATGACTGACAGTGTCGCTGCCTCTAGTGAAACCATAAAGAAACATTAATCCGGTGTCTTAGAAGAGGAAAATTACAATGCACATATAATCATGAATTATACCCGCACTGTAGTCCAGTTAACTAGCAGAAGAAGGCTACAGCAGACCGCTGGCAGCAGTCTGTCTCCAGTCCGCAGTGTGTTTCAGGTGTGAGGTCTATACATAGAGGTGAGGTTTTTTAGAGCTGCAGTAACACCTGGGTGAAAATTGGACCTGAGCCTGCAGCTGACCTCAAACTGAAACGCTGCGCTCGACACGACACAACACAACACAACACAACACAACACAACACAACACAACACAACACAACACAACAACACACCACTGCTACCACATAATGAGCCTCTGGGTTTGTGACTCAGAGACAGAGGAGGGTGAACTTGAGTTCAACATGAAAATAAAACCTCACCAGGAAATTAAAATGAATAAATAATAATAATTCAATTTCTGGGAAATAAGTCTTATTATTTGTCTAAAAAGTAAAATAATCTCATCAAAAATATGTCTGACTATGTGTTAATGAGATCTTACAGTTAATATTGAGGTAGATTTAACCAGTAACAACAATGGTTGCATAATATCCCAGCAGAGGAACCAGATTATTCTACTTATTTTCAGAGTCTGTGCCAGTGTTGGAAATAAAGCAGCTGTTTAGTTTTTCATAAAAAATAAAAAATGATAAAAATCTTAATGTTTCTGGTTCTTTCATTTAAGACAAAGTCACAAATTCAGCTCAATTTTAACTATCTTAAATAACTGAGTTTTTATTGCTTGTAATAAGAATAACTTTTTTCTAGTTTTAAGGCTCATTACAGTCTTTCAATGGCTGATTGGTAGATTTCATCGTATTAAAGAATATTTGGCTTATTTCTAGAAGGGCTGTTTTTGCAGTGTATAAATGTAATATAATATCCATAGGTATGTTTTCATTAGTGTTTAATCAACTGAAGATAAGAATTGTTTTGCTTTCGTTACCTTAGAACGAGCTGTTTCTGTTTTTGCCTCCTCTTCTGGCGGAGTCCGCCATCTTAAACCACCATTATCGTTCAGTAGCCCAGAAACTAAATATTTTCTCTACATAAGTTTAAATGTTTTGACACAGTTAAAAAAAAAAGGTGTTTAAAGCTCTTCCTTTAATTTTTCCTTTTAATTATCTAAAATCAAAATATACTATTAAGTTGTTGTTTTTCAGCACAACATGTACAAACTGTCCTGGTTCCACATTAACTACTAACTTTATTGAAAAATAGATTTTTTATTTTATTTTATTCCAAGAAATCCTTCTAAATAAGATAAAAAAAGGCCCAATAATTGAGGAATTTCTGTAACTTTTATATACATTTATTTTAAAATGTACCTTTTATTTAACAGAAAAAGCTTTGAAACTAATAAATCTCCTCTTCAAGAGTTTCCTGGTCGAGACGGGACATAACAGCAGCAATAACAATAAGTTAAAAAACATAAAACATCCTGAAATATGTCCCAAAACAAGAATTAAATAACATTTTCCACTAAGAATCACATCCAAGAAACCAGTTACCAGTTTCTGTAACAGTAAAACATTTGTTTATACGGCATTTTAAAGGAATTAATATGGAATAAAGTAGATAATTAATACAGACTGTAAATTGCAGAAAACCACCGTCATAAACCTGTAAAATTAACACTACTAATATAATTTTACTTTAACAATAGAAACATTCTGCTGTATTATAAGTTCTGGCAACCACCGTAAAAAACCCCTTTTGTTTGTTTTAATTACTTCTTTACTTTTTTCTTGTATCTTTTATTAGTGTTTTAATGAATTCTTGTTCTTATATCTTATATTATTGAATATCTTGTATATTTTTAGTCATTTTAAACAGTTGATTTTTGATTTTAAATAAAGATATATGTGTGTTTTCTCAGGCTTAACGTAGAAGTTCCCACCAGTTTTGACTTGTGACCTCTTTAAAGAACAAGAAAAGTCTACTTGTGACCTTCATCTCAGGCTGTGGATGTGAGTAATGAGCAGTTTCTTCTCAGATTGTTTCATTTAAAGGGTTTTTGAGGCCTGAAGAGGCGAAAGCATCCCGAAATTCAACATTTTATATTGACATATAATATAATTTTGACAATAAATCTATTTATTTCTCATCGTTTGCATTAATCTGCTTTATTTAAAGTTCTGTGAGAACAGAAAACCGCTGTAACAAACTTTTCGGGTGTTAAGAAAATGAATTTCCTGCCTCAGTAGCTGCTGTTAGAGTCACCAGAACTCACCTGAGCGGAAGAAAAGTAAATCTGATGAAGACACAGCGTCAACAAAACAACCCCAGCAGTCTTCATCCTGAACAAAACCTCCATCCTATTCCTCATTAGACCTGCTCCTGATGAAGCTCTGTTTGACTCCTCCGCTGCTTCTCCAGAACTAAATCACCTCCTCTCCTTCTGCTTCTTTTCGAGGGCACTTGCCAAATTTCTCCTCCACTCGCTCGCAGCCACACCTCCTCCCTGTCAGATATGTTGGAGGTGGGAGCTGGAGGAGGAGGAGGAGGAGGAGGAAGAGACTCCCACATCTGGAACACGCTTCTCACTTTTTTGATCCATCAGCATCTCCAGAAATAGACCCTCAAATTATAAGGAGAAGTCAGCTGGCTGTGGCGTCTTTTAATCATCATCCGCCTAACAAAGCAGCGACATTTCAAGGACTATTTCAGATTCGCTCCCCGGCTCAGGAATGTGACTCCTGCTCCAATTACAGCCACTATAAAGTCCTACTGTTTTCCTGAAACCTTAAACCTGCTGTCTCAATAGGATGATGGTGGTGTGGCTCCTAAAATGACAGGGCAGCCATATCTGCTGATAGCCCCGCCTGGATCATCCAACCACCCCCGCCCCGCCAGAAAAAGAGCTGCAGGGATCCTGGAGGACACAGAAAGACCCTAAAATCAGCCTTCAAGTCCAAACTCTCACTCATATAAACTGGTATATAAAGTATGGTAATGGCAGCTTGTGAACATACACTGTAATCTCCTATAGGAATGTCTTCTGAACCTTCGGGACTCCAGAAAAGAAAAAGAAAGAAAGAAAGTGCTGACTTTAAAAAGTTCACCCAAACAAACCTTGAATGTCATTGAAGGCTCCTTGAATTTAATATGAGCTTGTTAGCCTGCTAATATAGATGCTACATGATATTTAAACAAGACTCAGAGTCTATAGTCATGCTAACAGCTCTGAATGGGCAGACTGCAGTAGGTAAGCTGCAGTAGGTAAATAAATTTTTGTCATATTTGCTGAAACTTTCACTATTTCCTGACAGCAACACATGAGACAGATAATCTGTGAAATAATCAGGTTCCTCTGAGCTATATTGTAAAAAACATTAATATTCCAGCATCTGAAAATAACAGACTCGTAAAATTACAGTAATTTTCTATATTTAAAATACAGTTTTTAGCTTTAATTTGCCATAAAATCATTTTTGGCTTATTAATGTTTAATTAAGGATATTAACACACGTAAAACCAATGCAATGAGCTGTAAATACAGGTGAACGCTGCTATAATAGAAATAATAAGGCTTGAATTTACAGCAGAGTGCAGTTATTATTGATTGGTATTTTGAAGTTAAAGTTATAGAACTGTAATAAAACTGTAAAATAAAGTAATATTGTTTTTTTTACTGATAAAAACTGTATTTCGACAGTTTACCAATGCTTATACACTGATAAACAAGATTTATTCAACGTTTTTGTTGTGAAAACTTCCATAATTATACATATTATATACATATATAAGATATCTGTCAGTTAACAAACTTAAGAGAAATATTCAGTGTGGTGGTCAGAGGGTTGTATGGAGGCTTAAAGGTGGCAGAAAGATTTAAAGGGCCAGTGTGCAGGATTTAGTGGCATCTAGTGGTGAAGAGACAGATTGCAACCAACTGAATACTGATCGCCTTCCAAAAGTATAAAGAGAAAACTACAGTGGTTGCAAAACTATGTAGAGTCAGTGTTTGGTTTGTCCTTCCTGTGCTACTGTAGAAACATGGTTCAACATGGCGGACTCCGTGGAAGAGGACCTGCTCCCTCTGTACATGAAAACATTCTTATTTTCAGGTGATTATATTATATTCTATTTCTGACTCACGCAAACAATCACATTTATCAATATCTGCTTGGGGAAAAAAAACAAATTAAGATATTTGAACTCTAAACTTTAAGCCTATCACTTAATAACAGATTAGTACATTAATGTCTGTTTATTAACATGTTATCTTTTTAATCAATGTGTTAAATTTGACAGCAAACTCCTCTACAGTAGTTTATAAAGGCCTTGATTGACTTTGGTTGGACTACAAACTAAAAAAAGACCATCAAGTTTTTTGTTAAAACAGAAATATTCCACTTTAAAACTCTTTTTTTTAAGCTTATATGATAATTATTGGGGTGGATAAATAATGTTTTAAACCTATAATGGTTGAATATAACTTTAAAAAGTTATAACCTCAATGAGATGTGGTTGTTGTATGGATGCAGTGCTCCCGACGTCCACCAGGTGGTGCTTCAGTCTGTCATTTCAACCTGTTGTGCTGCACAAAAATAAATATTTGTAGTTTCTTTTTCCAAACATGAAATCTGAAGAATGTCCTTTACACAGATGTTTCCTCACATGTGGCTGAGCTGCACTTTGGGAAATGATTATTTATGTCGGTGAAGTCACTAATTACATGAAGCGACCACATGAAGGCCGAGAGAGCTGAGTTACAAACGTTTGTCTTTACGGCTGCTTCTGTAAAACAGTGAGAGCAGAGTTTAACTGCGGTAGCTGCTCGACGTGGAGCTCGTTTTACAGTCGGTTCTGTGTTTAAAATGTTATATCTGTCAGATAAATATAGTAGAAAGAAGTCGAATATTCTTATATTTATATTTTCTTATATGATATTTTTACATGCAGTTACTTTTTATGTATTTTTGTACTTTTTCCAACAACAGAAAAATATTTAAACTCACATTTAGTAGAAGATGTAGTTTAGTTTATTCTAATGGACGCTTTATCCTCTATGATAGACCTGAGAGTGTGTGTGTGTGTGTGTGTGTGTGTGTGTGTGTGTGTGTGTGTGTGTGTGTGTGTGTGTGTGTGTGTGTGTGTGTGTGTGTGTGTGTGTTTGTGAGTGAATGAAAACCCAGATAATCCTCCATTAAGCGGAGGGATTAGCAGCTGGGACAGTGACAGTTGGATTAAGATGAACTGCTTCGTGTGGAAAAAGCAGAAAGAATACACCTTCGTCACACTGCAGGTGGTTACCACGGCGACAGGGTTCATAGTTCATATATATATATATATTATATACATATATATAAAACACAGTGAGACTGCCGGTCGATTATTATTAATTTCTGTTCGTTCATCCATAAAATCACTGATATTATTCAATAGACCTTTTTACCTGCAGCCATTCTGACATAAACTCAGGTGTTACTAACGTTAATGGTACTAATAAAGGTTCTGTTCCATTTAGTGTAGCAGAACCTTTCCAGTGAGCTAAATGGAACTGAACCTTAATTAGTAGCACTGGTAACACCTGCGTTAATATCCGCCCGCACAGGATATTGTAAATGTTGTTAACATTCACCGATCTATAGTCACATCTTACTAATCTAATGTGACATCAGTCGTTAGCTACTAGTTACCAGTTGTCATAGTTACAGTTTACTTTTAGTTCATTTTTAATTTAGTTGGTTAAACTAGTTTAGTTTCAGTTAATTAGTAACACCTGTGTTCACCAAACTATTTAATGTCGGCACTCACGTTAACTCACACACATTGTACAATCTACATCAACTCTTAGCTAAAGCTAGTTTGTTAACATTTTACTACATCGGCTGTGTCTCATTCCGCCTACTTACACACTTCAAACACTTAGTTTTAATGGTGCGTTCGTTTTGTCCACCCGACTCGATCTGCGAGTCAGTTTCCTGAGTTATGAACGAAGTTGGCTACTCGGAGCATCACACGTAGTAAACATTGTGGTTTTCTACTATTTTAAGCACATTTGTCTTTGTTGTAACCAAATGAAGAAGTCGTACACACAGCACTGTACACTGTTACCTATAGGCATGTTGCTACAGTCTCATTATGAGTTAAATACGCCTCATTAGTTACTTTGTAGCTTGTGCAGCTGAAATTGGCTAGAGACGCTCCATGTTGCTATGACAACAGTGCCGAGTCTTGAGCAGAAAGCAGAGCAGTAACCACGGTAACGTTAACGTTAATCAGAACGGGATATTCAGATATCAAACTGTGTGATATGATTGTGTAATATGTAATGAACATGTGAAATCCGCAGTGGGTGCACCGTAAACCAGATAATCACTATAAACGTTACGAAACGTCCAAACTGCTTATTGCAACCAAGCTCGTCGTGTTGTGTGCCAAACAGAACGCAAAAACCCGCGGTTACTCGTTTTCAAACGCGGATGTGACGTCGCTCTCGAGCTGCAAGTCGCGATTACAAGACAAAATGAACGCACCATAAGTATATAGTGTAGATAACACAAAAAGTCAGTGCACTGAAAGTACCCAGATGACCCCCTAAAAACGGTCAAACAATTCAGTGCGGAATGATGGACCCTACTCGCACTGAACGGACGCCATCTTGACTACAAAGCGGAAGGGGAGGGACCATTGGGACGTCGGCAAGTTTTTCAAAATTTGAAATAATGTTGGACAACTCAGCCGAGGCAGCCGGAGCTGCGACGACAAGTTCGACACCTCAAGCTTATAAATGTAAGTAATGGTGGTAATACGAGACATTGTACTGTCGTCTAATGCATCACTTAGATGTCCCTCACTGACTGAAGCCGACAGAATTATTTGGCGAGTTAATTAACGTAACGTTACATGTTAATGCTACCTCGCTACCCTAACCTGCGTTGGCGTCGGAGGCGACGTAGTTTCCACGTGCTGTGAACTGAGCGGTAAATGAACGTGCAGAAAAATGTTTGTAAACAAAAGCCGGCATATATTTTTGGCGGGCTGGAAAATCGCGTTCACGTGTGTCGCGTTTGTCGCGTTCGTCATTCCCGGTAAGTGTTTAACATAAGTGTTCCTTTTGGGACATTACTAACCATCGACAGTGGGCACTACGGCATTAAGTGGTCCGTGCACATTAGCAGTGTACTGACGGACGTAAACCACTAGCTAAGTTACCAGAATTGTCATAGTTTTGTTTTTCAGTATTTTTATTTTTATTTCATTTTTAAATTTTTGTTGCCCATTCAGTTTAGTTTCAGTTAATTTCCAGAGCGTGTTTGTTAATTTCTGTAGGTCTGTTAGTTAAATGTAATATTTTTTAAGGAGACACAAATATTTTGTTAGATTTCTTGTTCAGTTTGTTCAACACAAAAACCGACAGAAGAAGCAAAGACCAAAAGATCAACAGATGTGAGTACCTGTACCTTATATATGTGTCTCTTTTATCTTTTAACCATCTTCAAAATGTGGCTATCTTTTCAGCATCGATTAGCTTAGCACATAGCATGTGTACGTACAGGAAAGGAGGAAGTTCAAGCTCAACTGTTATTGGAGCACAGAGCAAAAAGGGGCGGGACTTGGGAGAGGTACATTTATATATAACATAAAACAGTAAAATGTATTTATTTCATGTGTACATCCTTTAAAAAAGAGCTTTAGTGAAATAATAGTGTTTAAAAATCAAACAGAAACTACAGAAGAACTGAACAGGATAAACTAAAACCTGCACACAGTAAAGTGAAGCTGTAGCTTTAAACCCGTCCTCAGCCCTGTGTGCTGCACTGACCCTGTGGTCTGATGGATAAACCCTCATTGAAATGCATGCTGGGATTGCTGTTAGCGGGCTGCTGACGGGGGTTAACTCCATGATAAACACAGAAGCCCGGGAGACGCCCCGGCTCTCCTCATCATCATATCTTAATTAGATGGGACAGCTTTAATTAAAACGGAATCATTTAATGGGTTTTGTAATTAAAACAGAGTCAGATGGCGGCCGGTCGGTTCGGGGCCGGCGCAGCCTCCCTTCCCTCTGACCCAGGTCAATTTATTAACACTGATTAAACTTTCATCAACCAATCAGAGCTTTCTGAATTCTGGAGGTAAACATCCCGTTTATCTTCTCCACCGGTGTTCAGGAAGTCCTGCTGGGAAGTCTTCGAGCTCTGAGACGGATCGAGACTTTACAGCTAGAGCTCGTATTTAAAAGTCTGACCATAAAGGGTTAATTCATGCAGATATTTTTGGCTTTGTGTGTCCAGGTTTTGAGATTTCTGTCTCAATACAATGCAAACAATGTTCTCTGGTTCTCTTATCTTCTGTGAACTGAGTTTATTGGGACTATTTTCTACAAATAGTAGCTTGAAATTAAAAATATTCCAGTTTTTGAGACTCTTGAATCTTGACAAATAAAACCAAAACAACCTGCAGAAAAGTGGGTAAATATGGACTTTGGGTGCATCCAATTGCCCCCAGAGGTTATAATATACCTGGAGTGTGTATGAGTTAGGTTACAGATTGAAACCAACTGAATACTGCTCGCCTCGCCCTCCCCTTCCAAGTGTGATAGACTATTCTAGGGGGAGCTTGTTGAGAAATTTAGGAGGGGATATTTCTGGTGCCAATGTTTGTTTTCTTTTCTGTATAAATTGATATTTTCTTGTGTATTGCTTTGAAAACAGTACTTATAACTATTACTGTTCACACAACTACGTTTTATTTTTGCATAAAATGGGAATCTTTTGTTGTGTTTGGCCTTTCGTTCACACACAAAAACACAGTTTTGGGAGCCTGAAAATGCAAAACCCCTGTGTTGCCGTTGCCACGGTAACTGACAATACACATTTTCTGTGACAATAAGGCACGACTATTACGCTTCCAGCCAAATAGCCACGATGAGCCATGTCTCCAGACTGTCAATCACAAGGTAGCCCCGCCCTAAAGCATACCCTGCTTTATGGTCTGTTTTACTCTAAATGGGACCATCAGTTACTAAATGAACATCATGCTGTATGGAAGAAGACTGAAACTAGAGACTGAGACCAGAAACTCATCAGGAAACTGTTCACTGAGCTCATCAATCAACTGAGAAGTCGACTCATTTCTCCATAAGACTGAATGGTATCGGCCCCCTGCTGGCCGTTACGCAGAATGCAGGTTTAAGGCTTTATACATTAAATACACTGTCAGTGGTTTTTGAACGTGAATTCGCCATCTTCTCTTCCTGTTTCTCCTATTCGGTGGTGTTGAATTGAAAAGTTACGTCGCCACCTACTGGCCTGACATACATACGACAATGTTTTCAGTTGCTTTTGCTAATCTGTGTGCAGAGGTTTTTTTAAATGCAAAGAAAAAAACATTGTTGTTGTTTTAGGGTTTTAGTCTTCAGTTATGTTTAAAATCTGGTTACATTCACTTAATTTTTGTGAAGTTGTTCCAACCGAACCCTTTTGGTGAACCCAGAATATGATTTAAAGAGCAGCTCCTCCACTAGGGGGCGTTGCACCTCCACAGGACTGAGGGTTACCTGTCTGCTGTTAGACCTGAATGTACAGGATACACGGAGAAACATAATAAATGTCACAATAAAGCTTTCTATCTTGATGACTGAGAGGACTTGTACCCCTCTCTTCTTCTCCTACACTCCTCTTCTAACCCCCCCACCCCTGTTTAACCAGATAAATAAGCCGGTCATCCCTCCTCCACCCCTCTCAGTGGAGTGTTAGATGGTACGACCCACTGCCAGACTCAGCAGTCACCCCTCTCTCTCTCTCTCTTTCTCTCTCTCTCAGCAAGCATCAGTCAGACATTCACTCTCTGAGTCGTCAGGTTTTATCTCTCTCCTCCTCTTCTCTTGTTATGACCCATTTCAGGAGCGACTGCCACCGAGACAGACGTGAGTACCACACACACACACACACACACACACACACACACACAGTAGGACGAGTGTATTTGAGAGGATCTTGTTACAGTGTGATCCCATAAAGGTAAAGAGCAGTTTAAAGATGCTCTGAGTTCACTTCAGATCTTGTGCTGTCTTTTGGGAGTTTTACACTTGGACGGCTGGAGGTGGTCGTTCACTAATCGCAGGGGTCGGTGGTTCGATCCCCGCCTCCTCCTGTCCACATGTTCCTCAAGCGAGATAAGAAGCCCACTTTCTCCAGCTGATGGGATCTCGCTGCCACTTTGGGTATAAAAGCACTAAATGATGATAAACCTTGAGAGTTGAAGTCCTTTTCTCTGGTTCTTCAGAGGGCTAGAATTAAAGCATGAAAGGATAATTCTGGTTTATTGTGAGTAAGATCTTGTAGTTTTGACCATAATTATTATCACTAATAATAACGTTGTGTTCATTCAGTGTACGGCTGAGATTTCTGAACAAAGTAGTCAAGTTTCCATCACAATTTAGAGCCAATTTAAACAGAATTTCAGGAAAATCTTAAAAAAAAATGAATTTCTTTAGTGAATATTAGTCAGTTAGTTGATGGAGATAATCAGTAATTCTCCTGTCGGTGCCATTAAACCATTGTAAGAGAGAAAGACACAAAGTGTTAAAAGAGCTCCAGTATAAGCACATTTGGGAACAATGGTGAAAACAAAAGAAAAAGCGAATGAATGTGTTTTTTCATCATCAATTATTCCACTATATTTGTGAATATTAGTCAGCTGGTTGATGGAGATAATCAGTCAGTAATTCTGTAGTCGGCTCCTGCCACTGTGTTCACTGGGAGGCTGCTGAGCCCCGTTCAGTTGCAGTACATTAGCAGTTAGCGGAGGACGTCAGAGGGAAAACCAGACAATATTCTCTCCATAAAATCTGATATCTGATATAATCTCTGATAAAGCTGTGTTTGTACAGTAATCAGTGAGCTCTGCTAGGTAGCCATGCTGTTAGCTAACTAACTAACTAATGAATCTTCACTCTGTGTGGTTAAAGTTGAAGATTGATTGACGGGTGAATGTTTGATTTTATTGGTTGAAATCAGTTAGTTCATGCTGACGTAAGTACGCGTCACATTTTGGATTTTAATATAAAAATACAAAGAAATTGAGTTTTTGTACATATTTTGGCATAAATTGTTAAACAGGGGAACAATATAACTCAAATATTAAAATGACTTTAAAGAGTAACCACCGTCACTGGCCTCTATGATGCTTCTCTTGTGTTTTCGGGTGCATTTGTGACATTGAATGTGACACACACTCATCTAGCATATACACACTAATGTTGGTATAAAAAGGGTATTTTCACTAAGCAGCAAGATTTCTTTTTGATTCTGAATGTTTGAGCTGTTAAAACGTCACAATGCATTCGATGAAATTAACTGCGTCATTATCTCCATCTAAAGAGAGTTTGTTCGTTTCAAGTCAACGTAAAATGTCTAGTCATCGTAATCAAATGAGCATTCTTCCCAGCGGGGATTGTATTTGTGTGATGGAGATTTACTGAGTCTCTTTAAGGCGTTTATCTCAGATTACTCTCGGGTCTAACCTTGATAAAGAATCCACTTCAGCCTCTGCACTCCACTTGTGAGTCAAGTTCAAGGTGCTATTTATTCATCCATAAAATCCTTGTAAATGTCAGCGCTCACAATCGCAACACGGTCACGGATGAGAAGAAACATCAGTGTTACAGTTTCTACAAATGCTCTGAATGTGGCCGCTAACATTTCAGCAGCGGCTGTGATCATCCGGGTGTGAAGAAATGACCCTGAAACTCTAATATGTTATTCTGCTGCTGTAAGAAGGAGCGGACCTGGAAAGGAAACCTGACAATGAACTGGTTTGAGCTGACTGCACAGTGGCTGCTAATGTAATGTCTTTTTTGGGGGTTTTTGTACTTCCAATGTCAAGTTTGGGTGGTCGCTCACTTACAGACACTCAATCAATCCCAAAATGCAACAGAAGTTACAGCAACAAGCAAATTGCATCATTGATGGCGATGCAGTACAGAAACTGAGCAATAAACGCATCAGAAATCAGCTCATAGACGTATTATTTCCTCCAGTTTCAGGATACATGATGTGAAGTTTTTCTTTGACCACAGTTTTTGTAACAGTATACATCTCTATTGCACACGCAGGGATCGGACGTCACGTCACGTTAGACTTTCAAAGTAAAAGCCTGCTGAGACACATTTTAAGGTAAAATTTCGGTACAAAAATTAGGAAAAGACTGTAGTTCAGGTTACATGTAATGTACATAACATAATGTAAAATAGGATGTAACGTAATAAACAAACTATGTAACAGAACATACGTAACGTAACATAAAGTACATAACAAAGTACACAATGTAACACAACATGAAGTACGTAACATAATAAAAACTACTTTGTTAGGTTTGCGGTGAGAAAGAAACAACATCTGTTTATGTTCAAGCCCTCTGGTGGCTGTAGGGAATATGATGGCAGCGAAGGAAAGTCAGGTGACATTATTATTGATGGATAAAGCAGGAGGTCGGAGGTCGGATGAACTCTTTCCTGTTTCCCACCAACATTCACCATTGGTTTCTTTTAACCATGAACACAATCATTCTCTGACGTGCACCAAGCGGTTATCGTCACCACAATGACGAAGGCCCGCTAACCTTAAATAAGTACTGATTTTAACCCGAACCATTATCTTTCTTTAAACCTAACGAACCTAGTTCCATAATGGTGGGACGAGGTTTCCATTGACGTCGGCTGTGGTGCAGAGGCAGAGCGGGTCGTCCCCTAATCAGAAGGTTGTTGGTTTGATCCCCGGCTCCTCCTGCCACATGTCGAAGTATCCTCGAGCAAGATACTGATCCCCAAATTGCTCCCAATGCTGTGCATCGCTGTGAGTGTGTATGGATGCTTTAGTTTCTGTTTGATGGGCTTTGTCATGTGTGTGAAAGGGTGAGTGTGGCATGTAGTGTAAAAGCGCTTTGAATGGTCGGAAGACTAGAAAGACACTACACAAGTACAGGTGCATTTACCATTTACCATCAGGACAACAGAAACTGTAAACATCCGTAGCAGACTGAAAATTTAACCTTGGCCCAGAACTCTATCTCTTATTATTTCTAAGTGTAGTACTTGAAGTACTTAAAGCACTTGAAACAGTGATTTAAAGAAGATGATGTACTTGAATGATTCGGGAATTTTTGCATTGTATCCTCACGGCTGAGTGCACTTTAAATGATGATCTAGTTCTAAATGTGTCCACACTCAACTAATCCCATAATGCAACAGAACAACAGCTACAAGCAGTATAAGTACGTCAAGGTTTGGGGCTTTAGTTTAGTTATTTCCTGTTCTATTTTGTTTATATATATATATTTATATTCTCCTCTCTCAGTAACTTCCCTTCCTCTTTTCCCCACCAGTTTTGATTGTTTGCCCCGCCCCTGATTAGTTTCACCTGTGTCTAGTTATCCTCCCCTCGCCTCTGTATCACCTGTATATTTAGTGTTTGTGTTTCTTTGTTTCATTGCCAGTTCATCTTCGTCTTTATGTCAAATGTTCCTGCAAGTTTCAGAGTGTTTTTTGGGTTTAATAAGCCGGTTTTTGGACTTTCTGCTGTGTCAACTGTGGATTTCTTCCTCGATGGGCTGCCTTCCCTGTTGTGACTATTATCTGCCGGACCCCGTAAGCCTTTGTACTTCACTCTAACTGCCCAGTCGCCTGCATTTCCATCCAATAGCACCAAATTTCCAGAAAATTGTAAACCATTCTGTACCGTAAATGAATGTACGTAACAAAGTAAAATATGTATACATTATTTTCTTTTTAAACTTGGTTACGGAAAAGATTGTGGTTTGGGTTACAATAAATCTATAACGTGTGTAACAGAGCATAAAATACGTAATATACGTAACGTGCTTAAGTTAATGCAATGTAAGTAACATAACGAACATAACGTAACCTATGTAACGTAATATAACTGACATAAAGTAAGTAACTGACATAAAGTACTTGGTTAAGTTTAGGAAAAGATCATGGTTTTGGTTACATAAAGTATGTAACGTAATCTCAAATACGTCACATAAAACAAACCCACTTGGTTACTTTTAAGAAAAGAATGCTGTTACAATAAGTGCATAACAAAGTATGCAACGTACCATAATCAAGTTTCCATCCAATTGCACACATTTTATCCAAATTTCCAGAAAATTGTAAACCTCTTCTCTACCGTAACATAAAGTAAATGACGTAAAATACGTATCTAACAAAAAGTACTTGGTTATGTTTAGAAAAAGATTTCGGTATACATAACGTACGTAATGTGTGTAATCTAATGCAATGTAAGTAGCATAACCTACGTAACATAATGTAAACATGTAGCGTAAAGTACGTAAGATAACAAAAACTACTTAGAAAAGATGGTGGTTTTGTTTACAATAAGAACGTAACGTGACGTAACAGTATACGTAACAAAGTATGTAACGTTATGTAAAATACGTATCATAAAAAAGCTACTTGGTTACGTTTGTGGTTACAATAAGTATGTAATGTAACATAAAATACGTAACAAAGTATGCAACATAACACAGTCATGTTTCTATCCAATAGTACACATTTTACCCAAATTTCAAGGAAATCGTAAACCATTCTCTATTGTTATGTGAAATAGGAGTTGAGATAAACAGTAGGTAGGGGTAATTCTGCAGTCTGTGCCATTGAACCAATATTTTATCTATTTTTCCCAGTGTTTCCTCTCCTGTTATGCCGAAATTGAAAATGTGCAAAAAGTGCTGTTTGGAAACCGACTAATTGATGAGAAAGGCAGCGGGAATGAGCCGTGAGACGTGTCATTTCCTCCGGTTTCATGAAACATGATCCCTGTTTCAGTTATTGTGTGCAGAACATTTGGACAGGATGAACTGAGACATAATTTTAGTGAACAGACAGACAGAAAATAATGAAAC